GCCGCGTTTCCGACAGCAGGCTGTGCCCCTCCACCGTTCCGGAGGAATGGTCATAGGGACCCCGCCTCTGCCCGCGTCCCACCAGCAAAAGGCTCAGGTCCGCTCGGCCCAACCTGTCTCCCACAGCCACCCGGCATCGACTCCAGAGCGCTTCCTCCCTCTCCTGTGGCGTCCACGTGTCACCGCCCGGCACACGCCGCTTTGCTGCCAGCCGCGGGCCGCCCGCCAGCCTCTCACCTTCTCCCCGCCGCTCACAGTGCCCACAGTCCCATACGGCGCTTGGCTGCGACCACCTCTACTGCTTCCGCGGACTCCACCGCCAGGGTCGGGGCCCGGGCCCCCACTCGGAGGCGGCGCGACTCGGTCTCTCCGTCCCCGGCGCGCCGCCATCTTGGCCCCTAAACGCCCAGCGCAGCTCTCATAGCCGGCACCGCCTCCGAGTCGCCTGCCTCGCCCAGCCGATTGTGGGAAGGGAATTATAGTTCCCGGAAGATACTGCAAGACTACGAATTCCAGAAGGCCATGCGAGACCCCCCCCCAACACTTGCACCCGGAAAAGGGCACTGTCCTCGCAAGGGAGCCTGGGAATAGTGGTTTCTTTAATCGGAGTTCGAGTGATACTTGTTACAGGTATACTGTAATGCTTAGTTTTTCTGTTGTGTGGGGGACCCAGTTGGGAAGTGAAAGGTAATAAAGAGTTAACATTTGCGCATCTTCTTGTTTTCCTAATTTGTCCAACTGTCGGAACACCTTCTTTGTTTTACTTGCTATACCATGCCCGCCTTTCACCTAAATCCAAGTGGGCCATGTGTTGAAACAGCACCCCCTAGTGGACACTCCAGGCTCTAACCCTCATCTTATCCACTGCGGCACCACTGTGAGCTTAGTCCTAAAACATTGGATTCTCAGCGTCAATCTGGGACGCTCAGAAATCCAGGTTGGCGGCTCATTACCAAATGTCCTGCTGATGCAGACAGATCACCTTGCTGTCCTTCAAAGACAATAGGCGTTCTCCTGCCTTGATTTTCCTGTCTGGAATACTTTAACCTCCAAACATCTTTCATACCCTACTTTATCTTGGAAAGCCCTTTTGATCATCCCAGGCAACCGTATTCCCTCTCTGTACTTCTACATTCCATCACTATCTCTACTACTCACTGGCCATTTAGAAGCTACTTCATATTGTTTTCTATTTTTAAAAAGTTTTTTTCTTTAAAAGATTTTAATCTTGCCAGGGGAAGGTGTGGATCAGTGGTTGAGCATCGACCTATGATCCAGGAGATCCCTGTTTGTTTGATTCCTGGTCAGGGCACATGCCTGGTTACAGCTCAATTCCCAGTAGGGGGTGTGCAGGAGGCCGAGGATCAGTGACTCTCATCATTGATGTTTCTCTCTCCCTCCCTCTTCCTTACTCTCTCTGAAATCAATAAAGACATATTTTTAAAAAAAAGGGCTGAGGCTTTCAGGCCTGGCTGGGTAGCTCAGTTTGTTAGAGTGGTGTCTCCCATACACCAAGGTTATGGGTTCGATTCCCGAATAGGGCACATACCTAAGTTGTAGGTTTGATCCCCAGTTGGCGCATATCAATGTCTTTCTCTCTCTCCCCTACTCTCTATAAAATCAATAAAATAAAAAAAAGACTCAGGCTTTCAGCGTAGGTGCTTGTTTTCATTCTCTCTCTCCCCACCCCTCTCTTTTTCTCTCTCATCTCTCACTCTATTACTCTACTGAAAACAGTGTGCCATGTTATGAGCAGCCCAATGGAGAGAGTCCCATGTGGCAAAAAAAACTGAAGCCTCAAAAAAAAATTTTTTTTGAAGCCTCTGTTCAACAGCCTTTGAAGAACTGAGGCCTACCAACAGCTATGAAAGTGAACTTGGAAGCAGATTCTCCAGCTCCAGTTATACCTTGAGATGACTGTAGACCTAGACATCACCTTGACTACAACCTTGTTGGAGACCCTGAGCCAGGACCACCAGCTCAGTCACTCCTAAATTCCTGACCCTCGGAAACTGAGTGAGGTAATTAAAGTTTATTGTTTTAAGATGCTACTCTTTGAGGGTAAGTTGTTACCCAGCAATAGATAATTAATATACCTGGATTGAAGTTATTCTAACAGCTAGCTTCGACCTTATAGCAATGTCCCTTTTAGGGCTTTATTTTTAGGTTCAAACAACCCACATTGGAGGCATGATTTACAGTCCTCGGCTTGTCACACATCATGGAATCCTTGCACTACCCCTGGAGGAATCAGAAAAGCAAGAATTTCTATCCCCATTATTCTGAAAAAGAAATTGGGACTAAGAAAGGTTAACCCATTTGCCCAGGGGCACATAGTGAGTATTGTTTTCTTTGGCTCCTAGGTTCCTACTGGGTGTATCATCCACTGTTCTAAACAGTTATTTATGGAAGGAGAGACTAATAGGTTTTGTCCACTTGGTGGGAATGCCCTGAAGGACAGGGACCATTTTAGAAGGAAGAACTATTCCCAAATACGTTCATGCATAAGAATCATCTGAGGAATTTTTTTAAAAATATATCTTTATTACCCGGCTGGGCGTGGCTCAGAGGTTGAGCGTCGACCTAGGATCCAGGCAATCGAGGTTCTGTTCCCAGTCAGGGCACATGCCCGGGTTGTGGGCTCGATCAATGACTCTCTCATCATTGATGTTTCTCTCTTTCTCCCTCTTTCTTCCTCTCTCTGAAATCAATAAAGATATATATATATAAAGATATAAAGATATATATATATTTAAATATATCTTTATTGATTTCAGAGAGAGGAGAGGAGAGGGAGAGAGAGCGAAACATGAATTGATCTGCTGCCTCCTATTGGGAATCAAGCCCACTACCAGGGCATAAGCCCTGACCAGGAATCGAACCTTGATCTCCTGGATCATAGGTCAATGCTCAACCGCTGAGCCACACGGCCAAACTGAGGAACTCCTTTAAATTGCAGATTCCTAGATCCCTTTCCCTCACCAGAGATAAGATTTCTCCTACTGGCCTGAGTGGCTCAGTTGGTTGAGTGTCGACCTATGCACCCAAAGGTTGCTGGTACAATTCCTGGTCAGGGCCCTAGTTGGGACAGGTATGCAAGAAAACCTCAGTGTTTCTCTCTCTCCCTCCCTCTCTCTAAGTACATCCTCCGCTGAGGATTAAAACATATTTATTTCTTCCACCTGAGGGTGGGGCCTTCATATTTAACAGGTTTCCTGGGAGTTTCTTATACACTTTGAGAAACTCTTTTGGCAGAGAAAGGAAGGAATGGTGATGGTAAATGGTGAAGGTGATGATGATGGTCAGTGGACAAAAGGAGTCATGTGTTGAGGCAGGGGAAGATAAATCCTATCATATAATTCTTATCATTCAACAAATATTGTAGGACACATACTAGGTTTTAGGCACAGCCATCAATAAGGCATATATCATCTACTACCTTGATGGAAAAAGAATATTCATCCTTGAAAAGCAATACAAATAAATATTTGAGGGAATTTCAGGGATAAGAGAAATGTGGGAGAAAATAGAGGCCAAGGTCAAGGTCAGGAGAAGGAATTGGATGGGACAGGCTCCAGGGACTGAAAGACACAGGAAGTCTACCTGTCCTGGAGCTACTGCTGTCTGCCTCTCTGTGGAGCTCCTCTTCTCTTCCCACTTTTCTCAACTCACCTCTTCTCAGTACCTCCCACTTTGCTTCATCCCCTAGGTCTAGAATCCATCTTACACTAATGACTGATATTAAAAAATACTGGAATGCCACTGAGTTGTTCACTTCAAGATGGTTATGTGATTTCATCTCAAAAAAAACTCCCAAAACTGGATGCTCATATCCATCCATCCAAATCAGCTAAGCCTGCCATCCTCCTGGACATGGTAATTAAATTATAGACTCTACATAGGCTTATTGTCTCCCTACCATACACCAGGACTATCTGCTAGGCATCCATTTCTCTTTCCATTTTTGCCTGCACCACAATTCCCAGAGCTGCTCCAAACATGTTCTCTCCTTCTCAGGGTCTGGTCCAAACTAAAATTAAGGCAGGGAGAAGAGCTTAGTATCCAGCTGTGTGACCTTGGACAAGCTACTTAACCTCCTTAAGTCTCATTCCTCAAGGAGCTAAAACCACTTAATTACCCATTCAAGAGTATTGAGATGACACTTTCTTTTTCTCTCTTTTGTCTGTGTGTGTGATGACATTTTCTTCTTTCCTTTTTACAATTTTTATTTACTTACTTTTAGGGAGAGAGAAACATCAATTTGTTGTTCCACTTATTTATGCAATTCATTGGTTGATTCTTGTATGTACCCTGGCCAGGATCGAACCTGCAACCTTGGTGTACTGGGATGCTCTAACCAACTGAGCTACCCCACCAGGGCTGAGACGATATTTTCTTAAAGGCAGTAGGACCACTAGATCAGCTGGGATGAGAGTGGGAGGAGTATCTTCCTAGAGGAGATGAAGCGAGAACTGAAATTTAAATGAGGCATTAACTAATCAGTAGGCAAAGAGAAATAAGAATGTTTTACAGACAAGTCATATATATTAACCTCTCTAAACCTCAGTTTTCTTGCTTGTTCAATGGAGGTATCTGCACCTTCTTCCAAAGGTTGTCATGAACAGTAAATGAGATCTCAGGTGTGAAACACCTAGCACAGTGCCTGGCACATAGTGTATGCTCAAAAAAATGCTGTTTTTTCTTGTCTTCCACCTTCCACATATGTACCTAGGAGAAGGGAACCTCGGATTCAGGGGAGGCAAAGTCCCCTACCAGGTGTGGGTTATAAATCCCTTTGTCCACCCAGGTAATTGGTCATTACTATGGAATCTGGCCAAGCTAGTTGTTTGGAATGAGTGGCCTTAGGGGTAAAGTGGTCACAGGATATGTGTGTGGGACACACACACACACACACACACACAAATGCAAATTCATGAACAATAGAGAGTGAAAGTGGTCAAGGCAGGTAGCCCATCTCCTCCACTATATCTCTAATCCTCCAGCCAATCCAGCCCACTCCTGACACTCTTGAAATAACAGATAACTTCAAAGAAAGCAGAAAAGGGCTAATGTATATTGAGTACTGACTACATGGCTTGCACTGGGCTAGGTGACTGGGCATACATTGCCTAGGTTGATTCTCACCAATTACAGAGGATAAAGCCAGAGGGTAAAGCTTTAAGTGGGGAAGTCAGTTGCCCAGGTCATTTGCTAGTGAGGGGCAAAGCTGGGATTCAACCCTAGGTATTCAAAATTCCAGGTTAGGGTTCTGTTGCTTTAGGTTCCTTTTACTCCCTCTAGGGCTGACCTCTGCCTGGGGGAATGTGGGGAGGAGGTAGATACAGGCAGGGGAAGCTGTCAAGGATACCAGTATAAGTGTGGATGACTTCAGTCCCTGCCCCTCCCCCCCTTCCCGGTCCCTTGAAGGTGGGGGTGGAGAAATCCACCACTTAGAGAATGAAGGAGTATGGCA